GTCCCGCTCCCCCGGGCGTCCCCCTCCAGCCCCCCTGAGCCGTCGTCCGTCCCGCTCCCCCGGGCGTCCCCCTCCAGCCTCCCCTGCTCATGAGGGCGCTGGCCAGAGGTGAGCCCTGATGGGAGCAGGTGGCCGACTTCTGGGCTTGCCCCCTCCTGCTACGTCACGTGGCAAGGTGGGCAGCAGCTTGGGGGACCCCTGTAGGGAAGATGGCAGTAGGGCGAGAGAGCAGGCCCATATACTCTGCCCGTGAGGGTCAGAGGTCAGCCGTGCCACTCACTGTCTCTGTGCTCGTCAGCACCCCGCGGTTCTGGAAGGAGCCCACTCGAGGAGGGAGTCACCCTCACTCTGCTTTCCCAGGCTATGCCGTGACCCTGCCGCTGACCTTACAGCTTTAAAACCCAGACTGTGCTACGTTGTTTCACACTGTCCTTGGGCTTGGCGTCAGGACCACATAGCCCAGGGCCCACGTAGCTCAGGGCCCACGTAGCTCAGGGCTCACGTAGCTCAGGGCCCACGTAGCTCAGGGCCCACACAGCTCAGGGTCCACGTAGCTCAGGGCCATGTAGCTCAGGGTCCACGTATCTCAGGGCCCATGTAGCTCAGGGCCCACACAGCTCAGGGTTCACGTAGCTCAGGGCCCACGTAGCTCAGGGTCACATAGCCCATGGGCAGTGTTGGCCATCCCAGTGACACGATTGGCAGCAAACGTGACTGCACTGCCAGAAGCCACACGGCTGGCCTTGGCGTGGATCCCAGGAGCAGCTGAGAACATGTTGGACATGTGTCCACGCCCCCTCACCCTGCTGCGGGGCAGGGGCTGGGGAAGGGCATGGTGTGGTGAGCCCCTCCAAGGACACGTCTCCTCCTCAGCTGTCCTCCCTCCCTCCTGTGCACACAGCTCTGCCATGAACCAGATAGACAACAAGAACGAGAAGACTGGTGTGGCCTGTGTCCTACTGGAGGGCCGCGTCTGGGTTTGCTGGGCTGTGCCACCCCAAGGAGGGTGGCCTGGAGTGCAGCCTCAGGTGGATCCGAGGGTCTGTGCTGTGCTTGCCTATGGCAGGGTCAGGGTACAATGGCAGAACACAGCCGACTCGGGCCGCGGCACAGCCAGGAGGCATCCCCGGCCCCTGCCGTGGCGGCCCTGAGGAAGCACCAGTGTCGTGGTGGGGCAGAGCTAGGAGCCACGGCCGCAGGGGTAAGTCCCCGCTGCAGCAGGCTGCCTGCGCTGCGTCTGACCAGCGGCCTTCTGACCCCTAGACCGACTGCTCAGGAAAGCATGGGCTGTGTCCAAGCCTAGTGACCGGATGTGCCGGTGCCAACCGGGAGCTGATGTGGGCACGTTCTCCCGGCGTCCTGCAGCCAGGTAAGTGGGCAGCCTGGGACCATGGGACTGCAGGCTTTGTTTGTGGGGTGGGAGTCTAAGCAGGAGCTCTCGTTCTGTGAGCCTGGCCATCTTTAAGACCCAGCTTCTCACAGCCGAGGGCAGCGAGAATCAAAGAGCTTGAGCTTTTTGCTGAAGTGCTTGGTTTTTTGTTTCTGTTTGTTTTTTAATTTTGCCACTGTGTTCACCAAAGAGAGACAGAGGGAAAGGGAGAAAGCAGCCCCCAAGGGGATGACTACACCATGCCCCGTCTCCATTTCTCCGTCCTTTGGGGATTTGGGCACATGGACATGCTGTAGGTCGGCTATGCGCATCTCACACCTTAGTCCCCATGTCAAGGGCTAGCCCTGCCTTCGGCTTATTGTAAAGAGTGTTTTGTTTTGTTCAGAGGCAGGGTCTTATGGTGTTGCCCAGCTTGACCCCAACTCGGTCCTGCCCCGGCTCCCCGAGCACCTGGGACACGGGCACACGTGGCCTCACGGTCCTGCCTCAGCTCCCTGAGCACCTGGGGCGCGGCACACACCGCCACATGCAGCCCGTCTTGCCTGACGTTGTAAAGCTATTAAGTAACAGAGCTTTAAAGATAAAAACTTAGACTCTTAGAATTCTGGTTTCTCATTTAACTTTCTTTTTTTTTTTTTAATTGCCAGAGGGTGCGTGCACTCATGAGAGGGTGAGGGTACATCCATGGGGCATGGTCACACTGCAACCCTTTCCCCTCCAGTTCTCCTCCTGGTGTGTTTGTCAAGTCCTGGGGCCGGGATTCAAACAGCCACAAGGCTCCACTCCCTATACACTGTGCTTGACTACTGTGCTGGGGGCTGTCAAACAAAACCGTGTGCTAAGCATTTCTAGCCTGTCTCCAGCTGGTCACGATTGCTAGACCAACGGCTCTGTCCTGCCCTTGCCCTGGTCCCAGCCCCTTGATGAGCCGCTCCCAGCTCCCAGGCTGACCTCCTACCCAGTCGCCTCCTCCCGACAACCCTGCCCTGCCCTCCACACCCCGTGCAGGTGCCAGGTTAGTGAGGCCCTGGGCCCTGACTCACCGTTTGATTTTCTTGGGTCTGACTCATCACCGTAGATAAGTGAACCTCTGTCTGACTTGCAGGATGTTAGGGTCATGGCTGAGCGTGTGGAAAGGCGTGCACGGTGGTTAGTTTTGGGCTGTGCTGGAACACGTGGCCTATGACCTGAGCGACATTTAGTACGCTCACCACGCTTCATAACCATCGCCGCCATTTTGTCACCCCCAGAGGAAACCCCGCTCCTCAGCAGGACCCTAGCCCTGTGGCCTGGCTGCTCTGCCCCATGGGTAGCCCTGCCCCTGCCTCATGTAAGTGGGGTCCAATGATGTGTGGCCCTCACGTCTGGCCTGTCACCCAGTGCACATTCCCGAGTCCTCCGTGTCACAGTGCGGGCCAATCTCTTCCTTGCTTCTGGTGTGACGCAGCAGGCCACGTGTCCACTCACAGGCTGCTGGGGTTGTTCCACCCCCGGGTTATTGTGAATAGTGCAGTAAACACAGGGTTACAGGTTCTGAGCCTCTGGGTTTGTTTGAAGCAAGTTTTCTTTTCTTTTTTAAGACTTATTTCATTTTTATGTATTATTTTTCATTTGAGTAGAGAGAGAAGGGGAAAGTAAGGAAGCAAGCAGCCAGGTCTGGGACTCGAACCACAGTCAGCATGTGGGAGTTCTGACCTCCTACCCAGTCGCCTCCTCCCGACAACCCTGCCCTGCCCTCCACACCCCGTGCAGGTGCCAGGTTAGTGAGGCCCTGGGCCCTGACTCACCGTTTGATTTTCTTGGGTCTGACTCATCACCGTAGATAAGTGAACCTCTGTCTGACTTGCAGGATGTTAGGGTCATGGCTGAGCGTGTGGAAAGGCGTGCACGGTGGTTAGTTTTGGGCTGTGCTGGAACACGTGGCCTATGACCTGAGCGACATTTAGTACGCTCACCACGCTTCATAACCATCGCCGCCATTTTGTCACCCCCAGAGGAAACCCCGCTCCTCAGCAGGACCCTAGCCCTGTGGCCTGGCTGCTCTGCCCCATGGGTAGCCCTGCCCCTGCCTCATGTAAGTGGGGTCCAATGATGTGTGGCCCTCACGTCTGGCCTGTCACCCAGTGCACATTCCCGAGTCCTCCGTGTCACAGTGCGGGCCAATCTCTTCCTTGCTTCTGGTGTGACGCAGCAGGCCACGTGTCCACTCACAGGCTGCTGGGGTTGTTCCACCCCCGGGTTATTGTGAATAGTGCAGTAAACACAGGGTTACAGGTTCTGAGCCTCTGGGTTTGTTTGAAGCAAGTTTTCTTTTCTTTTTTAAGACTTATTTCATTTTTATGTATTATTTTTCATTTGAGTAGAGAGAGAAGGGGAAAGTAAGGAAGCAAGCAGCCAGGTCTGGGACTCGAACCACAGTCAGCATGTGGGAGTTCAGCGCCTCCACCACCATGCCACCTGCTGGCCCCCGAGCCTGTTTTAATTCTCATGGATGCACAGAGAAGTGGCCTCTGGGTGACGTGGCAACTCCCCGTGAGGTCCCGAGCAGCTGCCACACCCCAGCACCGCACCTTCCGCCCTCCTGCCAGCGGGCGTGAGTTTCTGTGTCCCACATCTTCACCCAGACGTGTCCTTTGAAAAGTATTTTTCATTAAGGTCATTCTAGTAGGTATGTTCGCAGGTTTTTAAAGGAATCACTTAGCGCAGTCATTATAGAACAGGTCAGTCAGGGCTGGCCTGTGGCTCACAGGTCAGGGAGCCGGGTCTCACCTGACACCCTGCTGTCAGCACGTATGTGGGCGCATGTGTGCTGCCCCATTCTGCAGGACGGAGAGGTGGGGAAGGGGTTGCGGTGTGGCCTCTCCCACCATGGATCCCTCCCTCCTAGTAAGGGCATACATCCTTTGGCAATGAAAAGAACAAGAAAAAGAAAAATAGTTAAAATCAAACAGCAGTTTCTTGAGGCCAGCAGGGGATAGAGTGGGTAGGCACTGGATCCCAGGCACCGGGTCCCACATGGCCCACTCCGCAGTTCGAGTCCCAGACCCAATGGCTTGAAAAACACTGTGGGCGTGTGCGCATGCGTGCCCAGAGTCCTGAGAGGAGACCGGAAAAGGGATTGCGGCGCGGCTATCCCCCAACCATCCCATCCCCTCTCTCTGTTCCTGGCACTCACTTGTACCCTTGGCAAAGACCTAAATAGAACAGAACAAAAGCGGCAGTACCCGTCTCCCTCGTCCCCTTGGGCGTCCCTGGTGGCTGCCCTGTGATGCACACCCTGTGAGTCATGAACTGACAGCCCCTTTCTGGGTAAACGAGGTTATAACTCACTTAGAGCTGCACGGTTCTTTCTGTTCTTTCCGTAAAATCTGTGTTAGGACACCAGTTTGGCTGTTTTAGAAGAGGCCGAAGTGGCCTAGACTGGCCTGGTGGCTAAGACGGCTGGACCCCACACAGCTGGCTTCACAGTTGGAGTCTGGGACCTGACAGCTTGAGAAACAATGCAGGGCACATGTGTGTCATGCCAAAATCCCGATGGGAGAGGGGCCAAAGGGACTGTGGTATGGCCGCACCCCATGGGCGCGCTCGCTCGTGCGCTCTCTCTCTCTCTCTCTCTCTCCCTCTCTCCCCCCTGCCGTCTCTCTTTGGTGAGCACACGTGTCCTCTGGCAAATAAAAAATAATAATAAATAAGGGGGCCAGCAGCTGGCTTGGTGGTTAAAGGTGCCAGATTCCCACATGGTTGACCATGGTTCGAGTCCCAGACCTGGCAGCTTGCTTTCTCACTTTCCCTTTCTCTCTCTCTGTCTCTTTCTCTCTGGTCAAATTAAAGAAATAGTTATAACAAATGGAATTAAATAAATAAACAATTCTTTTGAAAATAAAAATAAATAAATAAAAAGGATAAAACTAGGACAAAAGATGTTTAAAATAAGAAGGGTAAGAACACCTTGCCTCCCTGAGATAGAAGTCTGTCTCCCTCGCGTGACGGTGGGCCTGATGCAGGGGGTGCTGCTTTGCAGACTCCCATGTTCAAGTGTGTTTTCTGTTTTGGCTTCCAAAGTGGGTGCTTCAGGCTTCCCACCACATCCACCCACCGCCCAGCCCAAGGAGAGGTTCTCCAGTCAGGACGCCCGTGTGTGTGCACCCAGTGCAGCCCCTGCAAACGCCGAGCTCTGTCCAATCGCTCTCAGAGCTGTCTGCGTGCTGGCCATGCGAGGACCCGTCTGGGCCGCGTGTGGCGGGAATGCCGTGGTCCCCACAGCCATTCCCAGGGGAGGAAGCGGGCACGGTCAGACCATGGGGCTGAGCCATGCCCCAGAGCTGCCTGCATGGCTGCGCTCTGGGTTCAGGTGGCAGTTTCTGGGGAGTCACGGTGAGGGTGTTGGTCTCAGAGTTCTCAGATGGCCACCTGTTACTGCAGGCTGTACAGGGCCGGGGCGGGGCTCCCTGAGGCTTAGTTAATGTTCAGCAAGCAGGTTCGCCCTGATCAGCTCCGCCCGCAGCCTGCGGCCCGGGGCCCCGTGGCCCATGGCCACTCAGCTCCTTGGATAGCAGGCAGGAAGCCCCGGGACCAATGGGCTGGCAGCATCTGATGCCCACTGGCCCCGCACACCCAGGTGCCTCTCTCCACCGCGTGCGACCTCAGCAGTCTGTCTCGGCTCCCCTTAAACATTGACTTGGCTTTAGTCTTGGGTGGTGGGCTGCAGCCAGCCTCCTGTGGAGCTGGAAGTGGCCGAGAGTGGAGGGCCGGCCCGACCCCTTGTTTCTTTGACTCAGTGACCAGGAGCGAAGCACTGGGATGTGCACACAGCGATGGACGGCAAGGACTTAGAGGCTGAAATCCACCCCTTGAAGAATGAAGATAGAAAATCACAAGAAAATCTGGGAACTCAGCTGAAAAATGAAGATAACTTAAAAAGCACACCTCCACAGTCCCAGCTTTCTCGCTGCCGAACAGTGGCATTTTTCCTTTCGTTGTTCATCTGTCTCTTTGTGGTGTTTGTGGTCTCGTTCCTCATCCCGTGTCCAGACCGACCTGTGTCACAGCGGACGTGGAGTGTCAATTACAGCGCGGCAGGTGAGCCGTCACCTCCCGGGACCTGCAGGCTGGGCGGGGTGGGGCATGGCTGCCCAACTTTGCTGACCGACTGGAGTCAGCCCTGAGCTGGCTGTGACTCTGTGGCTCAGGTTCCCCTGAAATGTTAGGGAGCTACAGAGCAGCTCTAAGTGAAAATGAAAGCGTGGAAGTCACTTAGGAGAGGAGGGTTGGGTAAGTCAGCGGAAGTAAGTGGCTGGTTTTGGTTTCATCACATTCATTTATTTTTCTTTTTTCTTTTTTCTTTTTTTTTTTTTTAGAGAATTTTGCTATGGGGGGCATGCACTCACCAAAGAGACAAAGAGACAGAAAATGAGAAATCACACCCCAGGGGGATGGCCACACCACAATTCCCTTCTCCTCCATTCTCCCCTTGGGGTTTTGGGCACGCACGCACATACACCTGGCGTGAGTTTCAAGCCACGGAGCCCACGACTTGAATCACAGTCGCTCATGTGAGAGTTCAGCACCTTAACCACTATGTCACCTGCTGGCCCCTCCTTCTTTTTCCTTTTTTGAGAGATATCTTTGCTGTAGGGCGGGTGAGCTTGCCAGAAAGACAAAGTGAAAAATCGCCCCCCAGGGGTACAGCCACACCGTAGGCTCTTCTCAGGATTTTGGGCACGCACACGTGCACACATACCCGGCATGAGTTTCAAGCCACCGGGTCCAGAACTTGAACCTTGGTCAGATGTGTGAGAGTTCAGCACCTTAACCATTATGCCACCTCTTTTTCTTTTTTAACTTTGCCAAAGAGCATATGTGCACCTTGAAGAGCGAAAGCGAGAGTGAGCATCCCCCATGGGGTGGTCACGCCGTACCCCTTCTTCATGTCCCTCCTTTCAGGGTTTTAGACGCACGCCTAGCGTGGTTTTCAGGCTGCCGGATCTGGGGCTAGAAGCGAGTTGGCATGTGGGGTGGAGTGTGGTCATGCTGTAGTCTCGTCACCTTGCCTCCGTCCTTGGGGCGGGGTGTCCACTCGTACACAGGCACATGCCCAGTGCCCTTTCCCACTGCTGAGCGGGGCCTCAGACTATGCAGTCTTGAGAGACCTGGCTCCCTTAATCATGAGGCTGTGGGGCGGGCCCTTTTGCTCATTTTTAATGATTGTTTGCCTTGTTAGTGAATAGTGAAAGGCCTTTATAAATTCTAGATATAAATACTTTTTGGGGGGAGAGGTTTTTGCTGTAGGGCACGTGCACTCGGCAGAAAGACAGAGACAGACAGAGAGACAGAAAGCGAGAAATCACCCCCCAGGGGGGATGGTCACGCCACAACCCCTTCTCCTCCATTCTTCTCTCGGGATCTTGGGCACGCACACACACGCGCCCGGCGTGAGTTTAAGCCACCGGGTCCGGGACGCAAACCGTGGTCGACTACATGGGAGTCCAGCGACATAGCCGTTATGCCAGCTGCTGGTCCCATAAATATAAATCCTTTATCAGATATATGACTTTCAAATATTTGCAACCAGTCTGTGGCTTGTCTTTTCATTTTGATAATGGTTTCTTCTGAAATGTTCACTTTTGTATCTTTTTAAATTTTTATTGCAAGAGGGCTGTGTACATGCCAGAGAGAGGAAGAGAGAGAGAGAGAGCGCGCCCAAAGGTGCAGGGAGAGGAAGAGAGAGAGAGAGCACCCAAAGTGCAGGGAGAGGAAGAGAGAGCACCCAAAGGTGCCTTCTTATTCCTTTTCCCTCATTCCTCTACTCCGTCAGGATATGGGGCATGCATACATGCCTGGCATGATTTTTTTTTAAAGAATGATTTTATTTAACTTTATTTACTCATTTATTTTAACTTGACCAGAGAGGGCCAGAGTAAGAGAGAGAGAGAGGGAAAGTGAGAAAGCATGCCGCCAGGTCCAGGATTTGAACCGTAGTCGGCCATGTGGGAGAGCCCAGCACCCTCAACCACCACACCACGGGCCAGCCCCCATGGCATGATTTTTAAGCTGTTAGGACTGGAACTGGAGCTGTAACAGGCCGTGCGGGAACGGATTCCCTGTGCAGAGTTTAATTACTGTGCCATGAGGGCCGCCCCAAAGGTTTGATCTTTTCCTTTATTTATTTATTCGTTTATTATCATATACATTATTATCAGCAGTTTTCCATTTTTGCTCTCTTAAATGTTTTGCTTTCCCCCGACTCCCTCCCCGCGCTGCTGCCTACTCATCTCCTGCACCGTCTTCAGTTTGCTATTATTTATTTTTTAATTCAAGAAGAGCTGTTTTAGCTTTAATTAGTCAAAGTTTTAAAAATTTAAGAAAAATTGACTTAAGACTTAAAGCAAGGAAACAGGCTAGGTAGTTTCTGTCCAAATAGTAGGTAGATAGTAAAAATCAAAAGCAAATATGAACGGAACTAAAACCGAGTAACAACTGCACTATCCTTCTCTTCTGGAGCATTTCTCTCTCTCCATTTCCCCTTTTACCAAAGAGAAGCATAAACTAACCCATTTGCAAAAAAAAATAAGTTCAGTCTCAAGTTGGTCTGTTATTTGCACAAAGCCCAATAAGAATACTAATTGATTTAGCTGGCTTTGCTGGAATCTCTTTTTTTTTTAATAATTATCTTATTTAACTTTACTTATGTATTTATTTTTAATTTGACCAGAGATGGACAGAGAGAGAGAATGGTGGTTAGGGCGCTGGACTCCCTCCCCCATGGCTGACCGTGATTCAGAGTCTTGGACCTGGCGGCTTGCTTTCTCTCTTTTCCTCTCTTTCTCTTTCACTCTGTCCCTCACCAGTCAAAATTTAAAATAAGTAAATGAAGTTAAATAAAATAATTCTTTTTTTTTTTGGAGAGGTTTTTTTCTTTTTTCTTTTTTTTTTTTTTGCTATAGGGTACGTGCGCTCTCCAGACAGACAGAGAGAGACAGAGAGACAGAAAGCGAGAAATCACCCCCCAGGGGGGATGGCCATGCCGCAATCCCTTTTCCTCCGTTCTCCTCTCGGGATCTTGGCCCCACACGCACACGTGCCCAGCATGAGTCTAAGCCACCGGGTCCAGGACTCGAACCACAGTCGACTACATGGGAGTCCAGTGACATAGCCATTACAACAACTGCTGGTCCCATGTTGTTATTATTTTTAATTTAACCACAGAGAGACAGAGAGAGAAGTGAGAAGCAAGCTACCAGATCTGGGACTTGGGCCGCAACCAGCCATGTGAGAGCTCAGTGCCATCTCCGCCACACCACCCACTCGATTGAAATCCAGCTAATTTTTTTGTTTGTTTTTGGTACCATATCAGAAAAATCACTAGCAAATCCAATGTCATAAAGACTTTCATGTTTTCCTAAGTTAGTTTTTACCATGAGTTCTTCAGGTTAGGTCTGTAATCTGTTTTGAGTGGGTTCTTACATCTGGTGTTAGGGGAGAGTTCAACTTATTCATCTGATGTGTGGTTTCGAGGCACGGAGCTTGCCGTCGGTCCTAGATGAGAGGGAGTTGTAGACCCTTCCCTGCGAGAGTCTGACTAGCCTTGGGAAGGGCTTGCTTCTCAACAGCTGGTGCTCGGGATGTGCCTGGGTGTCCTGCCCACCCCTGTGGTGAGCCCGAGGGGTCTGCAGATGCTCCTGAGACTGGGGGCCAGACAGGCCTTTCTGCGACCCACCCCAGCCCGATCCCCGCCTGGCTCTTTTCCAGTCACCTACGGCTTCGTGGCTGTGGCGGACATAGACAAGGACAAGGTCCAGGACGTCCTCTTTCTTTATAGGACTTCCAGCAGTAGCGACAACTCCAGCCACTCCTGTGCTGACGAAGGTGACTTTATCTATAATGGGAGGAGGAGCCTGTGTGTGGCGATGTTTGTGCACACGAGAGAGGCACCCTGGGAGGGTCTCGCGAGCCGTGACCCCTTCCCCTGCAGCAGCTCAGGGTCTGGGGCCCCCACACACTTGCCCAGCAAGATTTGAGCCTGACCTGGGAGCAGAGCCTGCTGTCAGCCACGTGGCTTCCAGCAGCACAGCCCAGCTTGCCCTGGACCACAGCACACCACAGAGCAGGGCTGGGGGTCTTAGGCTGGGCCCTCCCACTCTTGCGAGGTCTGGGCAGACGGGGCATTTCTGGAAGCCGCCACATCATAGGTGCAATGTGAAGGGGCAGGGCAGCCCCCTCTTTGCTACTGGCCCCTGTGGGTCCACGCTGGAGAAGGGGGAAGCCCCAGTGGCAGGGGCTGGGGTGGGGACACGAGTTGTGAAGAGGTGCCCGAGCCACCGTCGGGTGTGCTCCCCAGGTTTTACCGCCCCTTGCACCTTGGCGGTGGCTGTATCGGGGGCCAGCGGCAGCATGCTTTGGGAGAGGCCTGTGGCCCAAGACGTGACCCTCGTGGAATGTGCCAGGCCCCAGCTGAGGGACAACGTGGCACCCTCTGCCTGTATCCTCGTGGGCGGACCGGGGCCTTTCACTGCATTCGACTTGTTCACAGGTAGGCCGGGGCTCCACCCGGGTCGCCAATGGGCGCGTGCTGGGCTCTCCAGGAGAGGAGGCGGAGCAGGGGCTATGGCGCCCCCCCAGCAGCTCTGATGGCCTCGGCCTTGCATCTTGCCACCTCCTGTCTGGGTCATGTCCAGGCCCTGTCCGGGCCGTGTCTGGGGATGTGTCCAGAGCTGTCCAAGCTGTGTCCGGGCTGTGTCCAGGCTGTGTCCGAGGCTGTCCAGGCTGTGTCCGAGGCTGCCCAGGCTGTGTCCGACGACAGTGGCCCAGTGCTGTGCTTGTTCCAGGGGCTGCCATGTGGAACCAGCCCAGCGTCCTCGGCAGGAACGTCTCCATCCTGAGCCCTGTGCTCCAAGTGCCTGATGTAGACAGCGATGGGGCCCCAGACCTGCTGGTTCTTGCCCGGGAAGACCAGGAGGTACCAGCCCAGCCAGCTGTCCTGTGCGTCACTGAGGCCCCAGGCGTGCGGCCTCTCCCCTCCGGCAGTGTGTTCCACTCCCAGACAGAGTCGAGGTCCAGCTCCTGCCCAGGGATTGCCCAGGTCCCCCTGCACCTGCCTGCCAAGGTGGCCCTATATCCGTTAGACAGCTGCCAGGTCTTCCCGTCTGCCACAGCAGAGAGGCCAGGAGCTGGCCTCCGACCAGGCAGAGGCACCGCTGCAGGTGCCAGACCTCGCCCGATGCCCTCTGTCCTCAGAGTTGAAAGCCTCCAGGGCCCTCCTCCTCTGGAGCCGCTGCACACCCTAACTCACGACCCCCTGCTGCCTCTCACTGCAGGTGGGCGGGTACGCATACTCAGGCCGCACCGGGCACCAGATCGGCCGCAGAGGCAGCCTCGGCATGGACGGGGAGGGCGGCCCCCTCCTCCACGTCACCAGGGCGGGCGCCCACTACGTCCTCCTCCCCTGCGGTACGTTCATGCCACGCCCCCAGACCTGGCAGCACTGCCGGCGTGTGCTCAGCGCGCTGCAGGGAACCAGTGACAGCCCTTATCCTGGGGTCACGGAGGAAGCCCTGACAGGGTCGAAAGCCCAGGCGCCATGCTGGCAGGGGCTGGAGGGTGCACAATCCTGGAAAGATGACCCTGGTGCTTTGTGTTCTGTGTCTCGACAGCACGTTCCCTCTGCGGCTGCTCCCTGAAGGGGCTCTGTGAGAAGGTGACCGGAGCAGGTGGCCCATTCCGGGAGGACCCCCAGTGGCAGCACATGTTGAATGGCACTTGCGGGGTGCTCTTGCACAGGTGGGTCTGGCCACTGCTTAGTGCACGGCAAGCTGAGGGCACCCAGGCCACCCTGAGCTCAGACGAGAAACGCAGAGCAGCCCGACTGCACGCGGCCCCTGGCCATGGTGGGTGGTTTGTTTCCTGGGTGCAAGGGCTGTGCTGCAGGGCGGGCAGTGCAGAGCAGGGCTGGCCTCACAGCTGTCCGAGTGGCACCCCTGTAGCCGCACTCTCCCCACGCCCAGCACTGGTACAGTCCGCTACTTGCTGAGTGTCCCAGGGGCCGCCGGGCAGGACGTGCTCCTCATCAGCTCGGAGGCCTGCCTGCTGCTGGATGGGCAGGAGCTGACGCCAAGGTGGGCCCTCAGCACGGCCCAGGTCCTGAGGTATGAGGGTTCTCCAGTCCTGCAGCCCCTGAGGTCAGTCCGGGAGGGGGTGCTCCTTAGGGGCGGGTGCTCCTGCCTGACCGTTCTGGCCTGTCCTGCGGCTCCCTGCACCTGTGGTGGGGCCAGCAAAGCCCTCAGCACATGTCAGCGCCTCCTCCCAGGCCTGGCTGACACCCTGGCCCGCCCCAGGCCCCGGGTCCCCCTCTGTCTTTGCTTCGCAGCCACCAATGTGAGCTCTCCCTCCTGCTCTTCCAGAAAGCCCACCCTCGGCCACTACAAACCAGACACCTTGGCTGTGGTCATTGAAAACGGAACTGGCCTCAACAGAGAGGTTCGGGTCCCACCTTTGTCTAGCTGAGGGCTAACGGTCTGAGAGCAGGCGGCTCCTTGGGCCTTGGGGCGGGCAAGAAGGTTCCAGTTGCTTTCAGAGAGTGGTCGGCAGGCTGGGGGCACGTGGGCCTCGGCAGGCCCCAAAGTTGAGCCCCTAGACCTGCCGCCCAGATCCTGCTCGTGGACCTCGGCACCGGGTCCGTCCTGTGGAGCCAGGCCCTCCCAAGCCTCCCTGGGGCCCCACCATCAGCCAGCCTGCCAACTGCAGACCTCCGCTCAGCCTTCTTCTTCTGGGGCCTCCATGAGCTGGTCGGCACCAGCCAGACGGTATGGACACCTAGCCAAGGCGGGAGCAGGGCCACAGACCCGGGCCCTGGCGGCCACGGCCGATCAGAGCCACATGGGGCCCTGAGGACAAAGTGTGGAGCCGAGGGAAAGTGTCCTGGGGTGGGCAGGAGGGGCGCGAGGAGACGTTGGCAGGCCTCTGAATGAGGGTGGGTGCAGACTTCCAGCCAGCACTGCCACGGCAGGCACGAGTGGGCGGGCGGCCGGAGGGTGGCGCAGAGCTCAGGCACAGCCCTCGACAGTCTCCTGCGGGGTGCCTGAGCGTCACCGGCGTGGGCACGGCACGGTGCC